ACGCACTCCACCATTAGGCTCAAGGGGGAGTTAGTACTCAGGCTGCTGACACATCAATTATCATGTTGGGCCTGCTCTGGGAGGTAGGGATCTTTCCCTGATGTTAGGGACACCGGTGGAGTGGAGAGGGAGGAGGAGGCTCCAACTAACTGTAGTTCGGGAGGGGAGGGAGGAGTCGGGGTATAGCAAAGTGTGGCACTGCAAGGCAGGCCCTAGCCTACCCTGTTTCCTGCTCCTGCTGCTCCTTTACCGTCTAGGATGTTTAACGGGTAAAGGGAGGGTTGAATTGTCTCTTTCTAGGACCCTCTTTAATGGGTCCGACGTCGAGAGTAAAAAATATATATTCGTAAAAATAAAAAGGTGCTTCAAGACACTTACATGAAGTGGTTGGTGAGGAGGTAACTCAAAAGATCAGCTCACTCCGGCACGATGCCACCAGAAGTCCAAAAGACAGATTTTTAAGGTTGGAAACCTCTCGGAAGCAATAGCCAATGTTTCAAATGGAGGACATATGAAAATGTCCAACATCAATCTAAGGTTGCAAGGAACCATGGACATTGACCGCCTTGGTCTCTCCACAGCCATGGCGTACAGGAGCCTAGACAGCACTGCCGAGGAACCCACCGGGACTCCAAGGATGTGTTCGTGAAAGGCAGAAATAGCCAACAGGCATACCTTTATGGATGCGGTCAATGTGCCGTTTTCAAATTCCACCTAGTGGTGATTGGTATAAGTTGAGACTCAGCATGACAGAGGAACCTAACCTTCCTTGACAGACTGGCAGAATGCCCTACAGGGGCTGGCATAAACCATGCCCTTGGGGGCTCTCCTCATTGTCCGTGGAGTCAACTGAAAACGCCTGACATATGGATAACACATCTCGCACAACACAGAGGCCCCCAAGCCTCCATCATTCGTGAGCAAAATTTTGGGTAACCTTGGCGATTCACCCTCACGACAGCTGTTACTTTATCACAGCATTTGAGAATTCACCTCTGTAGGACCTTAGTCCGAAAGTGACAAAGCCCTTGATGCACTGCTCAGAGCTCCAGGAGATTCATGCTTCCCTCTGTGTGTCTTGGCCACCTGCCTCGGACCGGGATATGTCTTGGAGGTGTGGTCCCCACACCCACGCACTTTCATCGGTCTCAAGTAGAGGTCTGGCCACCGAGTTATCTCCAGAGGCATGGCTCTCAGCAGTCTAGATACTCAAACGCTTGTTGGGCAAGTTCAACCCATTGATCAAGACTGCTGTGAAATGCATCCCAGTAATGCAATCGAGCCAAATTAAGTTACCTCAAGTGAAGTCTTGCCCAGGGTACCATCTCCGTGGTGGAAGCTATTTACCCCAGAAGAACTATCATCTTCTTTGGTTCTTTTAGAAAAAGACACGTAGAATGAGAATAAAATAATAAAATAACACAATAAAATTCTCACGACGTTTCGGCCACAACGCAAGCGGCCGTCTTCAGGTTAAAGGAACAGACCTGTCGGGACGACAGAGCTTCAATGAACGATGTAAAAGATTCGTAGCGACTTTTAATGCGGTTGGTATTACCTTAGAGTCGCGACATCTCTTCAGAAAGGTGAGAGACTCGATTAGTTGAGCTTTCTTGTCCCGGAGTCTGTTGAATGATCTTAAGGTTGTGTGAAATCCCTCTCCGTAGAGGCGGTTAAATTTCGATTTAAAGCTTTCGTGACTGCAAGGATTCATCTTCTTTGGTTCTTTCGTAAAGTCATGTAGAATGAGAATAAAATAATAAAATAACACAATAAAATTCTCAGAACGTTTCGGCCACAACGCAAGCGGCCGTCTTCAGGTGAAAGGAACAGACCTGTCGGGACGACATAGCTTCAATGAACGATGTTAAGATTCGTAGCGACTTTTAATGCGGTTGGCATTACCTTAAAGTCGCGGCATCTCTTCAGAAAGGTGAGAGACTCGATTAGTTGAATCCTTGCAGTCATGAAAGCTTTAAATCGAAATTTAACCGCCTCTATGGAGAGGGATTTCACACAACCTTAAGATCATTCAACAGACTCCGGGACAAGAAAGCTCAACTAATCGAGTCTCTCACCTTTCTGAAGAGATGTCGCGACTCTAAGGTAATACCAACCGCATTAAAAGTCGCTATGAATCTTAACATCGTTCATTGAAGCTCTGTCATCCCGACAGGTCTGTTCCTTTCACCTGAAGACGGCCGCTTGCGTTGTGGCTGAAACGTCGTGATAATTTTATTGTGTTATTTTATTATTTTATTCTCATTCTACGTGACTTTACCGAAAGAACCAAAGAAGATGAATCCTTGCAGTCACGAAAGCTTTAAATCGAAATTTAACCGCCTCTACGGAGAGGGATTTCACACAACCTTAAGATCATTCAACAGACTCCGGGACAAGAAAGCTCAACTAATCGAGTATCTCACCTTTCTGAAGAGATGCCGTGACTCTAAGGTAATGCCAACCGCATTAAAAGTCGCTACGAATCTTAACATCGTTCATTGAAGCTCTGTCGTCCCGACGGGTCTGTTCCTTTCACCTGAAGATGGCCGCTTGTGTTGTGGCCGAAACGTCGTGAGAGTTTTATTGTGTTATTTTATTATTTTATTCTCATTCTACGTGACTTTACCGAAAGAACCAAAGAAGATGAATCCTTGCAGTCACGAAAGCTTTAAATCGAAATTTAACCGCCTCTACGGAGAGGGATTTCACACAACCTTAAGATCATTCAACAGACTCCGGGACAAGAAAGCTCAACTAATCGAGTATCTCACCTTTCTGAAGAGATGCCGTGACTCTAAGGTAATGCCAACCGCATTAAAAGTCGCTACGAATCTTAACATCGTTCATTGAAGCTCTGTCGTCCCGACGGGTCTGTTCCTTTCACCTGAAGATGGCCGCTTGTGTTGTGGCCGAAACGTCGTGAGAGTTTTATTGTGTTATTTTATTATTTTATTCTCATTCTACGTGACTTTACCGAAAGAACCAAAGAAGATTAATCCTTGCAGTCACGAAAGCTTTAAATCGAAAGAACTATCATGCTCCTTGCCCAGGTCATTGTAGCTTTTGAGCCTGTTGGCTGATGTCCAATGCCATTTTCTCTGAAAGTCGCATCTGACATTGGTCCTCCCAGATGTCAGCACCAAGGTGGTAGAGTCGCTGAGTTGAAGGACATTGCTGGCTTCAGGACTAACGCACTTCTGCCTTCTTGGCATCGTCCACCTTCTAAAGTCGCTCCTGCAGGTCCTTGTTAAAGAGGATCTCGCCCGCGGACAGCAGAGCGCACAAGACCTTCTTTGAGCTAGTGGTCAACTTCGGCCCACTAGGATGGCTGCTACCACCTGAGGCAATGTACAGTGTGTCTTTTCCCACATTGAGGAAAAACACGGTCTCAACATGAATGTTGAGGTAAGCCTGCTAGAACTCCTGGTCCTCCTCCTCCTCGCTGGGCTTATGGCAGATGCTGTGGTTGATGACCTTTGTTGCATCCCACAGGGTCTGGGAGCTTTCCTCCTGTACAGTAGGTTAACCTGTTATCTGGCACGCTCACTGGCTCCTGCCTGCTATGTCCCCAAGCAACTGAGGAATGACTCCGCCTCAGTCAGCTGAGGGTGCTCCGGTTCAGTAAGATTGACCTTGTGCCTCATCCTACATCTCAGCAAGTGCAGGACATGTAGAAACATCCATTTTTTTATGAAGGTGCGCAGACAATGCTTATTCAGCTGCATTCAGGGCTCCTGGAAGATGGATTCATCCCAGCCAATGGCATCATCTTCAGAGATTGACACTTCCGCAGCGAAATGCTAGGTATGTGGCATTGACCTCCGACCAGTGACAGCAGACGCGCCAATGGATCTGTCCCAGGAAGACGTTATCGTCTTCAGAGACTGACACACCTGCTGCCTTGTGCAGGGTGTATGGTAGTCTCAGAACGACAGCAGGAGGTCCCTGGTCGACGCGAAGTTGGACCTGTTTTGGCAAGACATTATCATCTTCTGAAGCTGACACTACTGCTTGGTCTGTGGCAAACACTTCAGCTGTCTGGTCAGGACCATCGGGGCCTCCGTGTCTGCTGAGGGCAGAACTGCTTAATCACCCCTGTGAGGATGTCTTTGTCCGCATGGTATATATGGTGAAGAGCCCTATGAGACTTGCGTTGGCTCCACGCCTGCGTATGCCTCTTCTTTGTGGCGAGAAGTCACCTCAGCAACGAGAGCCTTGTCCCCAGATAGTTGGTCAGAGGCGTCGACAAGCGTCTCTACCAGCAATCTTACTAGAGATCCACCAAGTGATCCCGAGCACTGTTGCATACTGCTCCCGTGTGTGTGGCGCGGCGGCTGTGGACTGCACCAGCCGGTCTGCTGTTATTGCACGCTGGCATTTCCTGCCTTTGGGTGTCACCTGACACAACCTTTGACAGGAAGACCGACATAATTCTGTGAGTGTTATAGAAGACTTGCTCCCTACTAAACACTGCTGATTAGCAGGAGGTAACTTGATGCCAAAGCATATAAAATTGATTGAAGAGATAATATGTGTGGCTTCGCACCACACCAATTTAATAGTTGCAAATGTTAACAAAACCATTCTCAAACTGTCATCTCGTCCGTTTGTAAAACAGGCAAGAATGCCACCACCTGTACAGTGATTCGCAATGTTGACTCCAAGGTATAATAGCACTAAGCACCTGAATCTAAATAAACATCTCTAACCTCCACATACAGTCCTGAGTCGATGGACCAGTGGCCAGAATTATTGGACAAAGGGGAATCGTTCACACGGAAACATACACATACCCACACACAGCCATATACACCCAAAGAAAATCACACACAAAGTTAATCACACACAAATAGAAAGTCATATATATCCACGGAGAATCAAATACACACGCATAGAGAATCATATACATTCATAAAGTCAAGCACATCGTGACATATACACATGGAGAACTCTGAGAGATATATTCACAAAACACACACACACCGCAATCGACTCACAGCGCCTGCTGCTGCTGCAGTCTGCGTTTACGCATGAAGAGGAGGCGAGGGGGGCGTGTGTGCCCCGCGTCCGGGTGCGCGCTCCAGGGCCTCGCGTAGCTGTGATCGAGCACCACCAGGTCCAGTTCGCGGTCCTGCGGTGGGGGTGGGAGCAGGGGAGAGAGGACAAGGGGGGCATGCACACAACCATAGCCAAATACAAGTCAAACATCTTCATTTCGCGGATTTGTTTCGGCGGATTAAATTATTCGCAATTTTAAATTTGTATACCAGTTTAACTTTCGCACACATTTCCTTTGACTATTCACATCATGGGATAGGGATACTGTACTTGCACACATACACAGAGAGACACACTTACACAGGGAAGCACGGGGAGACACAGGGAGACAAAGGGAGACGTGAAGGCACCTGTGGGGACAGCAGAGAGAGCAGGGAAGGGGCCGTGCCCCCCCCGGGTCCCCCTCTCCGTGCTGCACCCCCAGCCGAGCCCGCTACTGCCCCCAGGTCCCGCTCACTCGTGGGGGGAGACATCACGGTCACGTGACCTGTAGACAGGGGAGACGGTCACAATGTTACTCACTCAGTTAATCACAGAATTCTATACATTTAGTGGACAAGTTATATTTAACAGTTATATTCATCCTATTTTACATTTTTAAAAATACCTGTTTCATGTTTGAGTTAATGTAGGGTAACAAAAGAAGGGGGTGTCATAGAACAAACCGAGAACCCGTTTTTGCCTTTGAGTTTGTGGAATGGGGATTTACCGATTGCTATCAATAACATAATCACCGCGAACGACAAAGTTTTGGGGTATGCACAATGCCACCTTAAATGTATATCTAAAACACCCAACAACAGCCGCCATTCACCACTTATTGGCGGTGACATCACCATGGCTCTTGTGTCACATTAAGTACACCTTGAGGCCACTTGAAATGTCGAAGCTTGGTGGCAGGTCACGGAACAGACCCAGCTGTTCTGGATGGACTACGATTACTGACAGAAGTGCTACCTGAGTTCCCAGTGCCAATTTTCTGCGTTCTATCCGCCCGGTGCTCTGCTCATTGTTATGAGTGTCGTTCCTCTGCCCTGTGTAGTTGCTGGAGGGTGACTGCCTTCAACTCCCAGCAGTATCCTTCACGAGCCTCCTCCAGAGGCCAATCTTGACACCGCCTATACAAGTCATCCGCAAGTCCACGCAGCTCCACATCCTCCTATACCGCATTAGCCCATCTTTTCTGTAGCCGGTGTCATGGCTGTTTGCCCCCCTCTATCCGGCTATACAGAAGTTGCTTGGGCATGCGGGCTACATTACCCAGCCAACGCAGCTTTGCCTGCCGGGGCTCACTGATGGCACTGTATCCCCATCTTTCAAGTATATGTGAGCTCCTCACACAATCCAGATTGGTTAGACAGAGGATAGATCATAGGCAGGCCAGCCTGAATGTTTAAAAATTACACAGATGTCCCTTTAAAGGGTTCCACATTTTCCAAGCTTAGACAAGAGAGGGTGTAACTGTGTCAGAAAAGACCAAAAGATTTTGGTCTTTTGTGGTTAATGCAGACATGATTCCTTGTAAAAGGTTTCAGTTTGGTGTTTTAACATCTAAAAACCTTGTTTTGTTGCCAGAAAGAAAAAGGGGAAAACCTATTTTCATATTTTGGTACTGGCAAAGGAGGTCCCATGATGTAGTTGCTCACCCCGAGCTCTCATTACTCTGATAGTGCTTGCCTTTGTGCTGTACCCCTTTTGGCGTCCTCTGGTCTAACACCGTTGAGACTAGGCTCAAAAGAAAGTTGTCTTTGGTGTGGACCAATCAGTTTCAAAGACAATGCATATATTATCAGAGTATGTTTTTTGTTTGCATTCTGACCACAAGTATTGTGGTTAATGCAGAAATGATTCCTTGTAAAAGGTTTCAGTTTGGTGTTTTAACATCTAAACACCTGTTTTGTTGCCAGAAAAAAAGGGGGAAACCTATTCTCACCCAAGATTTGTATGGAGCAATAGGTCAGGAAACTAACGCAGCTGATTTGGATACCTCTGCTGCCAAACTGAAGCTGGTCATAACCACACTGCCCAGCAATGGAAACTTATCCACTTTCTCCACAACTGCCCCATCACTCATGATGAGTTGAGAGAGTGGAGTGTTTAATGACATAAAATACCCAGGCAAGTGCTTAGTTTTGATGGGGCTGATGGTAAGTCCACATCTCTATGTGGCATGTTCCAGGTCCAGCAGCAGAGTATCAAACTCCTTATAAGAGTAAGCAGCAATTACCAGATCTCCATACGTAAAATGGTTGACCAATAGGGAGCTATCCCTTGCCTGTACCCAGGCATCGATCAGCCTCCCATTGCATTTGTAATGAGAATGCCATCCAATGGGTGGCAAGGGGTAACTGCACGCCCACCACCGGGTAACGAGTATCCAATCCCAAGCGGGGATATATCTGGGCGAAGGGTGATGGCGGAGTCAAAGGGGAACGTGCGGGAACTATCGGGAAGGTTCCACGAGGGGGCGTGGCTAGAGGCGGAGGAGCCAGAAGACATCCCTGTCGCACCCCAAGGTGAACAGGGAATGGCTCAGACTTCCGGCCATGCAGCTTTACCTGGGCCTACTCACCATTATGAAGGCCCTTCGTGTTAGTGAGTGTGAACATTAACCCAAAGCCCTGGCTTATTTATGCTATCATAGGCCTTGACCAGGTCAACAAAGCAAAGATGTAGGTCATGTCAAAATTTCCTATACCTCTGCTGTAGCAGGACAGAGAATATGGCTACTATGCAGGACCACATTGTCCTGAAACATCAATGGGGCTCCACAAGACTCTCCTAAGCGTGCCTGGCAAGGCGATGTTGAATAATCCTTGCCAGGACCTTTCGCAGCACACCAAGAAGGGAGATGCCATGGTAGTTGTTGCAATCAGTGCAGTCCTCATTAAAATAGGGAACACGAAGGCATCCTTCAATCCTGCAGAACCCATCCTGTGGACCAGACAGTTGTTATGCCGTCACATAGGGAAGGTAGCCTTCAGACAATTGCCACCCTACCTTAGCTCGCTTGAGAGGTCATTTCTGCCCGGCGCTTTTACTAGTCTCAGGTAATAGATCGCCCTTCCTCAACAGATGGCACATCAGCCAGTCACTTACAGGGGGCAGCTACTTTTAATATCCGAGGGGTGGCAGCCCCAGCAGGGTCAACCCCCATCTTGTCTCATTGTTATCTGAGCCGAGGGGATTACACTCCCCCAAGACCTCACAGAATTCCTCAGGAAACATGCAGATATATTGCTGAGGATTGGAAATAAGATCGGTTTTCCTTCACTTAAGGATGATACTAGATGTGGTGCTGAAAGATACTTTTTTATGGCATTATAGAGTAGCGTGTGATTGTCACACACTTAAACTAACCATGCACTCAGCAACACATACCTACTCACACGCACGTACTCTCACTCACCACACACTCGCTCAAACTTTTTATTTAGACTAGATGACTGATGAGCTATAAAGCTCTTTTCCATAGTTGTCCAGTAGGGGTGGGTCAGCAAGCTACATTAACAAAACATTCAGGAAACGACATAGGAGCAAGAAAGGTCAATGTTAATTTACTACATATATGAAGTGTAAAAGTACAAATTGCAAAGGTAAATAAAGTCCTGCAGATTTGTCAAGGCCAAATATAAGCTTGAGCAAGGCATCAAAACAACAGTCCCAGACCACACCAAGACAAGTCCTTTAATTACATCGCACTCTAAAATCTATCAAAACTAAGGTAAGGTTCATAGTTTGAAATAGCACTGTACACACACTCACTCAACACACGCTCAAAACTCACCTATCCTCTCAAACGTTCACTCCCTACACATGCACACTTACCACGCAGGCACTCATTCATCACACACTCTTACTCACCACACACACACCACAAAGTAATCACTCTCCTCACACTCACTCTACACTCTCACCACAAATTCTCACTCACCACACACGCTCACAATTCACCTACCCTCTTACAATTTCACTCACCACACTCTCACTCACCACACACTCTCACCACACGCACTCTCACTCATCATACCTTCTCTCCCACACACACTCTCTTTCACCACATACACTCTCTTTCACCACATACACTCTCTCACCACACACGCCTATTTGCCACACAGTCGCTCTCAATACACACTCTCTCACTCAACACTCACTCTCTAACCACAGACTCTCACTCACCCTCGCATCGCACAGACTCCCACACACCACACCCACTATATCATCACACAGACTCCCACTCACCACAACCACTATATCACCACACAGACTCTTACCTACAATAACACGCTCGCACTCACCACACACTCACCTCGGGCCTCCACTGCAGGCTGCAGGAATCGATTCCATTCTAAAAACAAACCTCTGAATCGATTCACGGTAATTGCGACACACTTGTAAACTGCTCACGGATCCACCAGAATCGACTTTAGAAAATCGCGTTATTTATCATAATGCGATCCAAGTGCCGGTATTCATCCGCCCCGCCACGGATAACTATTCTGCCTCAGCGGTGGAACATCACCTCGCGTGAGCGGTGCTCAGGCATTTAAAAGCATTCGGTGGCTCCGGACGCGGAACTATTTTCCGTAGGCGGCTGCAAGGACTAGTCGGTTGTGCCGATGCCACGGTCTAGAGACCAGACTGTTGCGGCAAGTAGCTGTGAGTACAGTATCTATGAAGGCCGCGCACGCGCAGATAGATAACCAGCACCACGCCCAGCCGCCTTTGTTTCCCTAGTGACGACGTTCACCAACTACTCATTTGAGAATGAGCCCGCCTAAAAAAAAACACCTCAGGGAAGCCCGTTCACATATTCTTTACCGATTTTGATCGAGAGCGGGAATCCCAACTCGCTTCGCCGGGTTCGCAGCGCGCGAACGGCTGCACTACTGCCTCCCCACGAATCAATGAAACACACGTGGACAGCCAGTGTCGATCCACTGCTGGATTGATCGCTTCTTAAGAGCCACCGCTGGCACTCGTCACGATCCTGCGATGATTTCATCGCTCCATATAGATGTCTTATCGATATTTATAAGAACGTGTTTCTGTTTTCTGAATGTTATTTCTGAACCAAGGCCTAAATTTGATTCGAGATTGACGCTGCCAGCGCTGGCCAAGCGCACTAAGGAACGACAGCGGACGTGAACGATGAAACGCGTGCGGCTTGGGTGGCGGGGCCCGGAGCACTGAAGTCCACATTGCCAGTACATACAATTAAGCGCTGTGTGTTTAAAATATATAGTGAGTGTGATACTTATAAGTGGGGGAAAATGCCTGTTCGAAATCCCAGCACGACAGTTTAAACAATGGAGCGAGTTTATCAACTCCACCTCCCCCAGCCGTTATCCACCCAGCAGCAGTGTGAATACATCATTGAGCATTGCATGGCAGGATGGGGATGGTTTCTTTTTATGTGTTTAGGTGATTTGTTTACCTTTATTGTACTTTGCAGTTATGTTGTTGTATTGTTTGTTGTAACCTTCTTACCCACCCCTCCAGGACATCTGTGAAAAAGAGCTTCATAGCTCATATGATTCCTTCGGCATAATTAAACATTCTGATTCTGAATGGGTTAAGTCGACGTGCAGGTCACTGCGGGTGGTGGGTGGGGTAAAGTGGGTACTCCCTATCTCTTTCAAGATATCTCGTCAGCATGAAAGAGTTGGCCGAATCTATCTGGAGCTTTCTCTAGTGGAGGCCCCTTTCTCCAGCAGCAGTGGCGAGTAGCAGTTGCAGAGCTGCGCCTAGACACCGACGAGAGACATCGAGAACGGAGGCGTTCATCCAGTAGTAGAGAGAGACTGGCGCATCGCGATTGACTTTTCATTAATGATCGAGAACGATGGGTTCCACGTGAGGGTCGGTGGCTCCGCATGAACTGCACGTCCCCAGGACGTTCGGCACTCGCGTCGACAGAGCGGCGCGCGGTGACTCGCCCAACTTCCCCAACCACCACCACCACCACCGACTTCATCCCACGCGTTCACCCAGGAGGAGCGCCTCGCTGAGTCTCAAGCCTCTTTTCATGAGGGTCCTGCCAAGGGCTCGCTGGAAGGTTGTGCAGCGATTTCAGCTGCTGCTGCTCTGCGGCAAAACATGCAAACAAACATCCTCTGACAATTAAATGCATTGTCTTTGAAACTGATGGGCCTACACACATCAGTTCCAAAGAATGCATATATTATCAGAGCATGTTTGTTTGCATGTTTTGTCACAAGTATGTGTGGTTAATGCAGACTTGATACCTTGCAAAAGGTATCTACAGTATTTGGTGTTTGAACATCTTAACACCTGTTTTATTGCCAGAAAGGGTCAAACCTATTCTTATTTTTCATCATTTTGGATGCTGGAAAAAGGTTCCAAAAATGTGTTGCTGCTGTGTACATTGCCAGAGTTGGGAAATTTGGAGCGTGGAGCCATTGGCACACAATGAAGTACTACGTTTTGCTAATGACGGCACGTCGTAGTTGTATGGTTCAACACGCGCCGCAGTATTAACCGAGAGGTGAAGGCGCTCGTGCGCAGCTGATTCTCGCAGCGAGAATCAGCTGCGCTAGATTCCCCACTCGGGCGCCTCTGTGTATGTGGAGTGTGTTCGCCCTCCCCATCTTCTACAGTGGGAGTGTGATTGTGTGTAGTGGTTAGCGCGCTGCGCTACACCCTCTCGTGTACCGTTCCGGCCTTCATATGTGCTCGCAAAGAGCACTTGCCCCTACAGTCTGTTAAGGCTATTCGGGGGGGGGGTCTTTGTGTCGCTGTGTAACCGTGTGTGTAAACACCGACAAGGTGCCCCCTGCTATAATTAAACAGTCTTTGTGGGAGTCGCGGTTTCCACCCACGCGGTCACGTGACGCACCCCCACCCCCCTCAAGTGCAGGTGAGGGGGGGGCTGCCAGTTCTCATTCAGCTCACCACCTCATCCATTCACCACCTCTACAACTCACCACATCAAATAACATCGTCAGCTCACCATTTCATGAACCCATGACAAACAGATTTAACCTCATTAACTAATAAATACCTCAATCACATCAAAATAACCAACCTCCTTTCCACGTCCACTCATTCGCTTACCACCTCTTCACAAGACTCTCAGAAATCTGCGGAAGCCAAGTAAGTGCTTGCCGATCGAGGCGATCGTTAAAACAGCTCCGGGGATAAATAAAAATCCGCGATAGTTACATGGATGTTTTACAACTGGGACCAGGTTCCCTAGATGTCCGTGGAAGCCGCATGGCTATACTGCCATTGGTTTGGAGGGACTGACAGAAATCGTCAGCGGCCGCGTGAAAGCTAAGATGGTAATGGATCAGGTCTGTCTTCTGGAACTCAGTGGGAGCAGCGTACAATTCCATATACAGTACTAAATATCAAATTGGGAACTTACAACTGTTTCTCAATCCACTGCTGAAGGAAAGCCTCCCCACGCCTGTTGGTCACGGGTGTTGTTTGACCATACTTCACGCGGGTCAGTGCAAGTTGATGCAGATATAACTCGATACAATAACAATGTTAGCCGTGGTTTGGAGTCCAATTCGGATATCCGCTCCTCCGCAGCTATTGGTTATAGTTTTGTCGGTACTATGTTAGAAGTCTGTTGAAGCCAGGTAGCTTCCTAAATTGACTACTGGATTGTTAATATTGGACCGTGAAGTTTAGAAATGCGAGGCAGCGACGTTTCAATGCTTAACACGGGATCATATCGTCTAGTAATCTGTGGCAGCCAGATAACATGGCCATGAGACATGACCTCCCTAAGACTATAAATCTCACCAGCACGGGTATTACGGTGAATACGGCACCTGCCGTAACCAGTAGAAATATGTAGACGCCAAGCTGACTCAGCCATCGATACTATCTCAATAAGGATTACGGGGCTGGTTTAAAAAAAAAATCCGTGGCAGCCACTTCACCGATGTGCGGAATAAAGTTGACGTACAAATGGGATTAGTAGTAATCTGCGGAAGCCTTCAGAGACATGTAACCCACTTCCCATCTCTCTCCCCCCCCACAAGGCGATGGGCGAGGAGGGCTCTGCTCTCCCCCGAGTCGTGGACCTGCGATCACCCCGCTGGGACCAGTCGACGTTTTGGGGGCGCGCGCGCCATTTCTTTGCCGTCACGGACCCCCGAAATCTCCTGCTGAGTTCCCACGAACTAGAGCAGGCGCGCTCCATCGTGACCGACTTCCGGTGGGACCCCCACTCGTCACGTAACCGCTCCACCCACACCTGTCTCGGTATATGGTCACCACCACCACACGGCGTTCACCACTACCACTCCACCACCACATTGCGTTCACTATCACACCACTACCACCACCATCACAATCATCTCACAACACCATGTTGCTGATGATGTTGTTGATGTTCATCTTGTTGATGTTCATCTTGTTGATGTTGGCATGCAGGGCAGGCTATACACATGCAGAGCTCAGCGAAGAGGATGTGAGTTCCATACCTTACCTCCTCACTCCTCCACTCATCCTTCGCTCCAGTCACCTCATCTTATTTCACCACTCCACCTCACCTCCATTCACCTACGCACACCTCCACTCACCTCACTCTTCACCTCACTCTTCACCTACTCACACCTCCACTGACCTCATCTTCACCTCCTCACTCCTCCACTCACCTCCTCACTTCTCACCTCCTCACTCCTCCACTCACCTCATTCTTCCACTCACCCCTCACTCCTCTTTGGTGGTTGTAGTGGTGATGGTGGTAACTATGGGCTCGCCTCCCCATCAACAAGAGGCGAGGAATGGTGGTGGTGGTTGTAAGGCCGATGAGTCTGACGCCGTCTATAACCTTCTGTTCCAGGTGTTAGCTAAAATGTCCCCTCGGCATAGAGTCATCCTGTTAGGTAACTGTAACGCCCAAGTGGATCATGACACAGATACCTGGGTTGGAGTGATGGGAAGGCATGGGCCAGATCAGCTTAATATTAACGGAAGGAGGCTGCTAGACTTCTACGCAGCCCATGGGCGTATAATTACGGACACGCTGTTCTGGCATCGGCGCATCCACATAACGTCATGGATGCACACCGAGTTTGGACTCTATATAATTACGGACCAGCAGATGCAAGCCCATGTCCTTGACACCAGGACCTACCGTGGAGCTGATCTGCCTACTGAGCATCGACTTGTCATCTGTAAGATGCGCCTGCCATTCTTCCACTCCAGCGGTGGGTGTACACCCAGGACCCCATTCAAACCCACAGTGGCCTGGTCTCAGCTAACTGAGGATAGTTGAAAGCAGAAATTTCAATATCGCTTGCAGCTGGGGTTCGCATCATGCCCCCCTACTTTTGATGCTGAGGGGAAATGGGTGAGGTCCAGGACTGTTGCTTGTGCAGCTGCAATGGCTGCATTGGGTATGCAGTCCAGACCTCCCCAGAGACCCTGGCTGAAAGAGGGGGCTAACCGCAGCCTTTGCTCGGAGATTCAGAGAGCCATTCGGTGCTGCAAGGATGAGTGGTGGGGGCAGGTTGCTGGAGAGATGGAATCTGCCTCAGTAGCCCGCAAATCAAAAATTACTTTTTAATTCCTTCATAAAAGTAACGTGCCTATCACCATCCTTAAAGGAAAGAATGCAGGTTTACAGAGCATTTTTGTGAGGTTTTGGGTGAAGGGAATTCCCTCCGCCCAGATATCATGGGGCAAGGTGGGGACCACCATGCTAGGGCTGCGATGCCTCAAATATTGGCAGAAATAGCTACCCTTCTGAATGGTTGGCTGAGGTGTCTTCTGTGGAGGAAGTGTGAGGGGCGATCCGAAGTCTGAGACCAGGAAAAGCACCGGGCAGAGATGATCTCCCAAGCAAAATTCTGAGGGAGGGTGGCATCTATGTGTAGACTGCCCTATATGACATCATCACAACTGTCTGGACCACAGGACAGGTTATGCAGGATTGGAAGAATCCCTGGTGGTCCCCCTCTTTAATAGTGGGGACAACACAGATTGTAATAACTATAGGGGCATCTCTCTTCTCAGTGTGCTGGGAAAGGTCCTGGCAAGAATTATTCAACATCACCTTGCCAGGCACGCTGAGGAGAGGCTTGCAGAGCCCCAATGTGGTTTCAGACCAAGGCGGTCCTGCATGGATGCCATATTCCCTGTCCGTTTGCTACAGCAGAGGTGTAAGGAATTCCAACAAGACCTACATATCTGCTTTATTGACCTGGACAAGGCCTATAATACCATCAACAAGCCAGGGTTGTGGGCAGTTCTTCAGGTTTTTAGAGTCTCTGACTGTCTGCTCACAATCATTAAGGGCCGTCATGATGGTGGGCAGGCGTGTTCACCTTGGGGTGTAACAGGGATGTCCTCTGGCTCCCACATTATTTAACATAATCTTTGACCACGTAGTTCAAGAAGCTTTCCATGGCTGTACTGGAGGAATTTCCATCTGGTACAGATACAATGGGAGGTTGATCGATGCTCGGGTGCGGTCGAGGTATGGCTCCCTATTGGTCAACCATGTTATGTATGCTGATTATCTGGTGATTGTTGCTCACTCAGAGGATGAGTTGGAGGCGGTGCTGCTGAACCATGGAGTGTGCCACTAAGAGGTGGGGTCTTACCATCAGCCCCACTAAAACTAAGCACCTGCTTGGGTATTTTGTGCCACCAAACACTCCACCCCCTCAGCTCCCCATTGGTGATGGAGCAGTTGTGGAGAGAGTGGAGACTTTCCCTTACCTGGGCAGTGTGTTTGTGCTTATTACCAGCTCCGTTTTGACAGCAGAAATCTCACTTCTAATCAGACGGACGGCAGTATATTTCAGTCGGCTGCGCAATGCTGTGTGGAAGCTACCTGGTCTGTCACTGCACATGAAGCTTCAGGTCTTCTTAGCCACAGGCATGCCCTTCTCTATGCTGTTGAAACATGGACCCCTCTAATAGAACATCTGCGACGGTTAGAAATATTCAGGCTGGCATGGCTACGATCCATCCTGGGTTTGTCCATGCTGGATTGTTTGAGGAGCTCACAAATCCTTGAAAGATCTGGAAACATTCCCATCATTGAGCTCCTCCGGCAGGCAAGGCTGCGTTGGCTGGGTCATGTAGTCCGCATGCCCAGTTACCGCATGCCCACGCAGCTCCTGTTTGGCCACATAGAGGGGGCTAAATGGACATGGGCAGGAGAAGAGATAGACTTATGCGGTACAGGAGGATGTTGAGCTGAGTGCACTTGCCGACGACTGGTACCAGCGGTGTCAAAATCAGCCTCTATAGAGGAGGCTGGTGAAAGACGCTACTGGGTAGTTGGAGGGAGTAGCCCTCTAGCAACAACGGAGGGCAGAGGAGTGACGCTCACAACAACAAGCGGAGTGCCGGACGGCTAAAATGCAGCACGTTAGCAGAGTAGGGGGTAGCTGGTGCATCTACTGGTCATTTCAGTTAGCCAACCCATGGCACCTGCTGGATCTGTCTCGAGACCTGTCAGTGAGCCTTCGACACTTCACGTGGCCTCAAAGTGCACCTGGCCTGGCACAGGCGCCATGGTGATGTCACCGTTACTTCGTGGCGAATGGCTAGTATTGGTATTGGTAGTTATGATAGTGGTGGTGGTGATCGTAGTGGTGGTGGTGATCGTAGTGGTGGTGGTGATCGTAGTGGTGGTGATGGTGGTGATGATGGTGGTGGTGTAGGTGTGGCATGCTAAGTATGCCCATGACTCTGCGTTCCACCCGGAAACCGGGGAGAAGATGCTGCTCATCGGCCGCATGTCAGCCCAGGTCCCGGCCAACATGACCATCACGGGCTGCATGCTCACTTTCTACCGGTCAGCACTCGCTCACCAACACACTCACCTACTTACCTATGCACTAATATCAGCTGATGGTCAGTTGACTTGTTGATGGTTGCCCGTGGTGGTTGATAGTTGTCCGTGGTTGTTGATGGTTGCCTGTGGTGGAGATGGTTGCCCATGATGGTTGATGGTTGCCTGTAATAGTTGATTGTTGCCTGTTGCTCCAGATCGACCCCGGCGGTGGTTTTCTGGCAGTGGATCAATCAGTCATTCAATGCCATCGTCAACTTCACGAACCGCAGCGGAGTCGCACCCATCAGCACCATGTGATCATGGGGACACACGGGGAGAGACGGCAGACACACCGGGAGACACGGAGATACAGGGACACAGGACTACGGGGATGCACAAGGAGCCACGGAGACACACGGTCACACATGGGCACACACGTGACCATGGGGACATACGGGGGTATGGGGACACACAGGGAGACATGGAAACACACAGGGACACACGGAGACACACGGGGATACAGGGAGACACACAGCGAAAAACAGGGTGACACGCGGGAACACACGGAGACACACGGGGACAAATGGGGAGACGTGCAGGGACTCGAGGACAGAGGACATGAGAGGAGATACGAGTCTATGAATAAGTGTCTCAGTCGTGACACTTGTTTTTCCTGCTGCAGGCAGCTGGCAAGCGCATACATTTGTGCCACATCGGGAGCCGTGGCTACCGCGCTGGCACTGAAGTCCCTCGCCAAGGTAAGAGGTGACGACCCTAATCCCAACTGTGACCCCATCCCATGTCATTCCCGGCCATGGCTCAGTGGTGAACGATGTCTTGCTTATTCTTTGGTTCTTTCGGTAAAGTTACATAAATAGAAAATAATAAAATAAAATAATAAACGTAAAATGATTTTTTTTTATTAAAACCAAAAACTATGACGTTTCGATCGCAACACAAGCGGTCGTCATCAGGCGGAGATAAAAGGGGGCAAGCCTCCAACTGCAACTGTTTATAAAGGCTTGAAATGGGTGCAACCCGAGTGTCAGAAGGAGTGGGGACAAGTGCTGCAGGGCAGCATGAATGGACGAGCCAAAGCTGAGAGTGGGCAGGGCACAAGACCCGTGGAGCCAGCCCTGAGCGGCGGGCGGCGCAGTCCAAGTGTGTCAGCAGCATGAGTGGAGCAGGCAATGCTAATGCAGGAGAAGACAAGGGGGAGAGAGAGGGGGCAGAGCTAGGGGGAGAGAGAAGGGGCAGAGATAGGGGAAGAGAAAGGGTGCAGAGACAGGGAGAGAGAAGGGGTAGAGATAGGGAGAGAGGGGGGGGGGAGAGAGAGGGGGTAGAGATGGGGTGCATTGCACCTCGCTCCACACATCCACACTACTGACGGTGGAGGTTGACAAGAAATTACAAATCAAGTCATGACCCAAAGTGGTTGATGACATCTTTCCAATGATTGTTGTGTTTATAACCATCTTCTCGGTTGAAATTGTGTCTGTGTCTCTTTAAGTGGATGGCTTCATAAACGAATCTTTGTTGATAGCCAGTAGGCTTGCAAAGTACCATCGTTTTAGACAAATAAAATTTGTGTAAGCCAGCCGCATTAAAATAATGATCAGCTGCGGCAGAAGTATTGGTCCTACCGTGTTTCAGATCTGCCTTATGTTCACGAACACGGTCTGAGACATGTCGCTTAGTTTCCCCAATGTAACTGCTGCCGCAGATACAGCTTAGTTTGGAGACACCGGGATATTGCATGTCAGGAATCTTGTCCTTCACAGATAGGATCAGATCACGAATTTTATGTACTGTGTTAAATCGGACCTAGATCTTGTGTTTGTTCATGATTTTGTAAATCTTTTTGGTTACCCCCGCTATGTATGGCAAGGTGATGGTTTTGATTGGATCTTCAAATGGTTTCTTCCTCATGGTTGGGGTGATGGCTTTGCAGATTATGTAGTCAGAATATCCGTTCGCGTTGAGAGCTTGGTGTACGTGTTTGAGTTCACTGGTTAGGTGTTCATGGTCGGAAATACATTGAGCTCTATGGTGTAGCCTTTTGATGAGGGAATTCTTCTGGGATGGATGTTGGTGGAATCAGGTTTTAGGTAGGCGTCAGTATGGATTATTTTCCTGTGGACAGAATGGCTCATTGAGCCATCTGTTCTCTTTTTGCTTAAGACATCCAAGAAAGGTAGCATGCCATCCTTTTCTAAGTCCATGGTGAATGTTATGGCTGGGTGTATGGAATTGATGTGGTTGAGAAATTGATTCAGAGCCGGTCGACCATGTGACCAGATGACAAATGTGTCATCCACGTACCTCTTCCACAAGGACGGGCATAGAGTGGATGCCTGGATGGCGTCCGTCTCAAATTTTTCCATGAAAATGTTGGCTAGAACCGGAGATTAGGGAGAACCCATTAGGGTGCCCCTTCAGTTTCATCTTCTTTGGTTCTTTCGATAAAGTCACGTAGAATGAGAATAAAATAATAAATTAATAAAATAAAATAACACAATAAAATTCTCACGACGTTTCGGCCACAACACAAGTGGCCTTCTTCAGGTGAAAGGAACAGACCTGTCGGGACGACAGAGCTTCAATGAACGTTGTTAAGATTCGTAGCGTCTTTTTAAGCTGGTTTAGAGAAGTGAGGCACCTTGACAAAGGGGTTTACATATCAAACAGGAGAATTTATCATTTAAATAGCTGCATGATTAGCTTGTGACTGGTCGTAGAAATAGCTATGTTAAAGTCAATGCTTACACATCCACAGAGGCACCTAGTACAAATCAAACAGGAGAATTTAGCATTGAAATAACTGAGTGATTAGCTTGTGACTGGTCATAGAAATAGCTATGTTAAAGTCAAAGCCTACACATCCACAGAGGCACCTAGTACAAATCAAACAGGATAATTTAGCATTGAAATAGCTGAGTGGTTAGCTTGTGACTGGTCACAGAAATGGCTATGTTAAAGTCAAAGCCTACACATCCACAGAGGCACCTAGTACAAATCAAACAGGATAATTTAGCATTGAAATAGCTGAGTGATTAGCTTGTGACTGGTCACAGAAATGGCTATGTTAAAGTCAAAGCCTACACATCCACAGAGGCACCTAGTATAAATCAAACAGGAGAATTTAGCATTGAAATAACTGGGGAATTAGCTTGTGACTGGTCATAGAAATAGCCATGTTAAAGTCAAAGTCTACACATCCACATAGGCACCTAGTACAAATCAAACAGGAGAATTTAGCATTGAAATAGCTGAGTGATTAGCTTGTGACTGGTCACAGAAATGGCTATGTTAAAGTCAAAGTCTACACATCCACAGAGGCACCTAGTACAAATCAAACAGAATAATTTAGCATTGAAATAACTGAGGGATTAGCTTGTGACTGGTCACCGAAATGGCTATGTTAAAGTCAAAGCCTACACATCCACAGAGGCACCTAGTATAAATCAAACAGGATAATTTAGCATTGAAATAACTGAGGAATTAGCTTGTGACTGGTCATAGAAATAGCCATGTTAAAGTCAAAGTCTACATATCTACAGAGGCACCTAGTACATGGACGCCAAAGGGGCTGCAACAACTCGACTATCATATAGTAAAACGATGTGAAAAAACCTAAGTCTAAATTACATCAATATATCTTCTTTGGTTCTTTCGGTAAAGTCACGTAGAATGAGAATAAAATAATAAATTAATAAAATAAAATAACACAATAAAATTATCACGACGTTTCGGCCACAACACAAGTGGCCTTCATCAGGTGAAGGGACGAGACTGTCTGGAGGACAGCGCTGGAGCGAACACAGCCAAGCTCAGACCGCGACCTTTAAGCTGTGTGAGAAGAAACAGAGCGCCTTGACAAAGGAATTAGCATAAAAATTTGCATTTTAATTGGCGGACTTAGCATGATGAACGGTGTAGAGGGGGTGAACATGTGCAGACCGGCGAGGGGGGGAGGGGGAGTTTACATATTGATGGTGTGAAAAGGGAATTTAAACTGCTGCGAAAGTTTGGGATACCACTACTTGAAAAAATATACTGTACCATTGAAAATTAGTTTGATGTTAGGTTCGGATAATTTAGCATTGAAATAGCTGCATGATTAGCTTGTGACTGGTCACAGAAATGGCTATGTTAAAGTCAAAGCCTACACATCCTCAGAGGCACCTAGTACCAATCAAACAGGAGAATTTAGCATTGATGTAAATCGAAATTTACATCAATATAATAAATGTATATTCTTAGTTTTTTCGGTAAAGTCACGTTGAAGAGAAACAACAAAATAACAAAATATATATAAAACAATAAAAAATTCTCACGACGTTTCGACCATAACTCAAACGGTCATCATCAGGTGTGTCGGTTTGCATAAATTTATTTTTAAAACGGCATATTTGTTTATTTATAAAAAAAAACGTTGGCGTCACGCGCAGCGATTGGCAGTTTGCCCAGGACTAGTCCATCTATTTTTTTTTTTGAAAAGAGGAGGGGGGAGACGAAATTTTTTATAATGTATGCTGTCTGAAAGCCACTGTAAGCGTGAACAATCAATCAAGAACTGAAATGATTTATCAAATCTTTCCAATGATTGCTAAGATAGAATCCATCTTCTCGGTTGAAATTGTCTCTGTGCTTGTATATGTGGATAGCCTCATGAACGAATCTCTCATGGAAGCCAGATGGCTTACAAAGAACCTCCGTCTTGGAAAAGTCAATGGCATGTGAGCCTACTGAATTAGAACAATGATCTGCTACGGCCGAGGTGTTGGTCCTACCGTGTTTAAGGTCTGCTTTATGTTCACGAATGCGGTCCGAGACATGGCGTTTGGTTTCTCCAATGTAACTACTACCACAGAGGCAACTTAGTTTGTAGACACCAGGGTATTGTATGTCCGGAATCACATCTTTTACAGACGGAACCAGATCACGGATTTTATGTAATGTGTTGAAACGGACCTGGATCTTGTGTTTATTCAAGATTTTGGAGATCTTTTTTGTGATCCCAGCAATGTAGGGTAAAGTGATGGTTTTGAAAGGCTCCTCAAGAGGGTTCTTCTTCATGGTTTGAGTGATAGCTTTGCGGATTGTATAGTCGGAGTAACCATTAGCCCTAAGAGCTTGGTGTACGTGCTTGAGTTCACTGGTAATGTGTTCCTGGTCGGAAATGCATTGGGCTCTATGGTATAGAGTCTTGATGAGGGAGTTCTGCTGGGATGGATGGTGGTGGGAATCCGGTTTCAAGTAAGCATTTGTATGGGTAGCTTTCCTGTAGACAGAGTGGCTCATTGAACCATCATGTCTCCTTTTAATTAAAACATCCAAAAAGGGTAGTTTACCATCTTTTTCGACCTCCATGGTAAATCTGATGGCTGGGTGTTTGGAATTGATGTGGTCGCAGAATTGGTTTAGAGCAGGCTGGCCATGTGGCCAGATGACAAAAGTGTCATCCACGTACCTCTTCCATAAGGTCGGGCGTAGAGTGGCAGTCTGGATGGCGTCAGTTTCAAATTTTTCCATGAATACGTTGGCTACAACCGGAGATAGGGGGAGCCCATTGGGGTGCCCTCAGTTTGTAGAAAGTTCCATTCCAGGTGAAGTATGTGTTGGTTAAGCAATGTCTCACCAGGGGGGGTACATCAGTATGCAGTCCTTGATGAACCAGGTCTTCAATGAGAGAAGTTGCTGCAGAGGTTAGTGTAAATGCGGTTGGTATTACCTTAGAGTCGCGGCATCTTTTCAGAAAGGCGAGAGACTCGATTAGTTGAGCCTTCTTATCCCGGAGTCTGTTGAATGATCTTAAGGTTGTGTGGAATCCCTCTCCGTAGAGGCGGTTAAATTTCGATTTAAAGCTTTCGTGACTGCAAGGATTCAT